ACATTTTGCTTGGACATCAAACAAAAGTGTGAAAAAAGCTCAAATAATTTTTCTAACTGTTAAATCTGCACTCATATGGAATAAATGTACAAAAAAACCATATAAATGTAAGAATTTATTTTAAACATCAGTTAACTCAAAGTCACATGTAATTTAATTCAAAACTCTTGTTAAAACTAGTGAAAAACCAAACATATAAAGTTCAGCATGGATTTTATGCTTGTGAACCAAAGTTCATCTTGAAGGCTTTTCAATTACATCAAATTAACTTTTAACTAATTTACAGCAATTGGAATGGGTTCAAACTGATTCAAATTGTAAATCCAAGTAGGTAAATAAAACATGCTATAGAAAAGGAATATTTTATTATAATATCTGCCTAAATAAGAAACCAATAATCTTTTAGACAATTTATTTTTATTATATTTACATTTTTTTTATTTATTTGAAAGGGATACCATGCATTAATGTATCAATAACGTAGTTTGGAGAGGAGGGAAAGCATTTTGTTACAGCAGTGTTCAAAGAAAACCAGTATGGACATTGGTCCTAATTATCCAAAACTAATATAATGGCTTATGGCATGACAGTAGTATATAATATAGTATATTATAGTACTGTTATGATGTCTGTTGCTTAGCTATGTTATTGTCAGTAAGCAATGGATCAATTGACGGAGCTGCTCTTGACACTGACTGGTTTTGAAACTGCAATAACATCATAAGTATGCAACAGAGGTGTTGCATGAAGGACTCACATAGTACTTTCCCTTCATTTCCCAGTTGGGGCAAAAATTGCCCTTTTGGTCCAAACCAAACAAGTAGAACAAAGGACTTTTCTTCTGTGAATACACCCCCTAAGTATCTTAGTTTAACAACACTAGACACTTGACTGATTTAAAATATTAAGCAGTGGCTTATAAGACTCAAAATAATAGTCAATATTTCCAAAGACAATCAAATAAATGTCTCTGTATATTTGTAACACCACAGTCTAGCATACTAGCAATTATTTTTCAATCGCATTACATTCTTTCCAGGCTAAATGCTTTTTAGTGTCTTTCAAACATGGGATAATTGAGTTTTTGACTCTTGGCCTAACATTTCTCTCTTGACAATTCTAAACTGGGCCGACCGGAATGTTGACCTACAGCTATCCAAAAAGGCTGAGAACAGGACACAAAAGAGTCATACAGTCAATAAGACTATTTTCTGTTTTAAAAATCTAACACAGAGGCTCCACTTACTTGTTTTATGTAATAAAGTAAAATAAAAGAAAGACCAAGCACCGGAGCAATGTAAAACTACTTACAATCCAGACTTTCCCATCAAATACTAAAATGATGCTATGAATTTTGGGTAATACTGAAAAAAAATTGCATTGTGTAAATGTTGTGTTTTCAAGCACTTGACATTTTTTAGTTAGAGACATTTTACTTTTATTAAAATAAGACAAATTCTGCACATTTCACAATACATCTGTAAAACTAAAACACTGTAAAAATACTATTTTACAAATCAACTTTTGTGTTTGGGGTGTGTACCTTAAGCCCTCTAGAAAAAAAAGCCTTTGGCATTTCAAATGAAACAAGATCGTGTGAAAACTTAATTTACCTTGACAAAATGCTCAAGTTTTTCAAATCTTTGTAATCAATCGAAGTTCTAAGCGTAAATTGCTGCCAGCAGCAAGGAGTGAATTATTACTACGTAGTGCAGCCTTATTTCTTCATGCTACAGGCTGAGAACAAGACATTTAGAAAAGGCTTACTAGTATGTTTAACAAACACAAATTGGCAACAATAAACATATACAGAAAATGTATGCCTTTATAAGTAAAAATGGAAAATGTTTGACTTTAGTTTATGAATGATCTCATAGTCTTACATAAATATTTTCAATTTATATAACAAAAAAAATTACACATCTTTTTCATGTTGAGTAAAAACTCATGCCACGAGTGATCTACATGTTATTCCTATGTAGAGGCACATTCAGGTGAAGTGACACCATAATGGACATGCAGCAAATTCAGCTTGGGTTGAAAAATTTTAACCTTTTTGTCTAGTCGCATCAACCAATCAGGTGCTGGATTTGGCATGAACTAAAGAAGAACCAAGTACCTACAGTAAGGAAGGTTATGTTGAGTGCATTTCTAGTTCAAGTACTGTACTGTATAAGAAAATGACCTCCTATTTTAACATATAATGCATTTGAACATCCATGATGTAGTTATGGTTTTTTAATATGTTTAAGCTTTCATGCGTAATATTTCATTCAGATAGGCTTTGAACAACATGACATACTGTAGCTCAATGTTGGGCAACTTTTCCTTTGAGATTTAATTCTGGTTTCATTTTTCAGATGAGCACATTAATAATTTCAGGAAAATGGCCTGTGGTGTTATGCCTGGACAGAATCTGTAGAGCAGATCACTCAGCTAACAATTAATTAATTAATTCAAAGCAAACTGGTACTGCAGGAACAGAAACTGAGTGGAACTGGAATCACTGTGGGGAGGGGAGCAGAGTTAATGGCAGAAAATGAATCTGTGGTGTTGAATGAAATGAAACTCTGTGGTGGTGAATGAAAGCCACTCACATTCTCAGAAGCCAGGAGATTGCACTGGCTCTGATGATTGATCCCAGGGGCTCAGTTTGGATCACTGAATGACTGAATACGATCTTGTCTGTGCTAGACAGAGCTATTGCTAGCAAGGAGTCATAGTCAGTCCAAGGGTCACACATACGGAAGCAATCCACAGGGCAACGATTTCCAGAAGAACTAGAGGATAGGGGAATCCGAAATCAAGGTGAAAGAATTGGTAACAGGAGGAACACTAACCGGGCTGAAGTTCTAATGGGGACAGAGGCAGGGGCAGATTCAAGGTCTGACAGTTGACAGAACAATCCACACAAGGGCAAAGGCAAACAGACTTGGTTGTGGAGCAAAGAAGGATGTCAATGTCCAGAGATCAGAAGCCACTAGGAGTATCATGCAGGGGCAAGGCAGGCAAGAGAAAACAGGAACGAGACAGGTTAAGATCAAGAGGTCAAAACAAGGACTACTGGAAGGTGGGAGAGCAAGGAATATAATAATAATATAGTGCTCCTCCCAGTAACTCCCAGTAATTTGGCTAACATAGGTGTAAGGGCTTAGACTTGATTGCCAGTGCAGCAGAGGGACAAAAGAGTAACATCATGGAACTGCACACAGTGGCTTCTCTGGCAGGAGAGGACGATATTCATTGTCCAAAGAACACATTGAAGTAACATTGGATGAAGATGCTCAATGTTCTTTGTTGTGATGAAGTTCCCTCAAGTTCTGAAGGATATGATAGTAATCTATACCAAAACTGCTTCTTTTAAGAAATCCAGAAATATCTAGATAAAACTTTGATTGATTGTTTAGCATTTGGAGAAAATAAAAATTAATTTTATATACTGTATCTCTGGTATGGATGGCCGTTTAAAGGTTGAATCATTCTAACAGACCAACAGTGAATAAAATTTATAGTAAAAAAATAATGCTAAGATGATGTGTCTGTATATTTCCTGGATTAAAAATGTTTCTAGCTTCTTCAGTTTATTTATTTATTTTTAATCAAAATGGTTGATATTTGTTAAGAATAAGTGCAGGGATAATTTTGATGAAGAATGAAGAGTTACCCACAAAGGTTTTAATGTCATTGAGTATGCAGATTTATTTTCTGCTTGTGGTTATAGCATTTATTTTTGACAATTTTTATTATTTATGATATATTTAAAAACTTCTTCACTAAACACTTCAAACAAACAGACCACCTTGGGTTGACAGTGCTACTGCCAGGTGGTAGAGCATACATGATCTTGTTTAAGTTTACAAACCTGTGCATAAGGCACTTATTTTTTATATGTTTGTTATAATTAGTTTGTAAATAGGCATACATGTGTTTGTAATTTTTTACAATAAAGTGTTTATTGGTGATGAAGGACATAAAGTTTGTGACACATATTTACATCAAATGAAAAAAATGGAATTAAGAATGTGCATACATAAGTGATGCACAAGGGAATTCTAGCTCTGTTCCAGCGCTGCCTGAAACGGAGCTGTAAAACTGACGAGCCAACGGTTGGGCTGGTCCGACTAAGCACAGTGTGTTGTGATCTGAGGATTTTTCCGCAAGTTGGAAGCGTCACTGTCTATCTGTCTGCCTGTCTGTCTGTATGTATGTATATAGGTTTGCATTTGTGTAAATCAAAGAGTCGAATGGTAACACAAGAGCTAAAAAAAAAAATAAAAATTTCCAAAGAGAATAAATGTGAACTTTAAGCTCAAGCATAATCACAAACCATCATTGTTTGAACCAAAGTGGACTTATTTGGAGATGACCAAGGAGGATCTTATCGTTAAACACAACTTATAGAAAAAACATAATAAAATATTCCAAACCATCTGTTTATAAGCTTCAAAAATTTTTGCAGCACTGGTGGCTTGTTTTTTCGACAGCAGGCTCACAGGAAAGGGGGCACGAGAGAGGGGATGACACATGCGGCAAAGGACCACGGGTCGGATTCGAACCCGGGTCGGCCGTGTCGGAGGAGGCTCTGTTATATTCTGGGACTGCTTTGCTTCATGTGACACATAAACCTCTGCAGGGTACAATGAAATCTCAAGACTATCAAGATATTCTAATGACAGAAATATGCTGCCTTATGTTTGAAAGCTTGGTCTCAGTCACAGCTCATAGGTCTTCAACAGGATGATGACTTAAAAAATACAGCTAAACAGTGTAATTGGCTTTCATTAAACAAGAGCATATATATATATATATATATATATATATATATATATATATATATGTATTCATTGCTTTTCTTTGTAAATTTCTTTCTTTCCTAATCCACAGATTTTTACCTTTTTTCACTCATGTTAGATTTTCACCTGAGTCTGCAAAATCATTTTAACTCACGTTCACCAAAACTAAAAGACAGCAAGCAGACACACACAGTAACATTTACATACCTCAGCTTTAATCTTATTGTCTCCAAAGCAGAGATGCTGCAGGTAAGCTGCAGCATTGGACTGCACTGATGGGAACTGGTGCTGCAACATCTGGATCACCTCTGGCAGCTCCGGATCTCTCCACCCAAACTCTCTGTGGAACAACAGACAGAGGCCCTTTGATTTCTTTAGCACATTAACAAGACATCCAACTGAAACTTTCTTCCCGATATCCCAAATGCTTGGGTTCAACTATTTACTTCCATGTTTACAACACATTTTAAAGTACACACAGACAGGCTCAAAGGAATCAAAAGCTGTGAAAGATGATAAGACAAAATTTTCTATTTCTCTTTTTAGCCAAATGCTTTTATATTGCTTTTTAAAAGAATGTAGTACTGAAATACTTGATTCATAGAAATTATATAATGAATATGTAGAAAAGATGCTAAATTCTTTGCAGCTCACAGAAGATGAGTGGTAAACAATGAGGTCAGCGGTTTAAGCAGAAACTGTGGTATTATTAAAAATTGAGTAAAGAGGCAAAAATCAGTAATTAAATCTGATATACAAAGGATTTGGAGTTCAGTCAAAGATGCCTCTGAGAAACCCATTTAGCATTTTATTAAAAAAACAAAAAATAATAAAGCTGGATTGATTCTGACTATTTAGACTCGTATGCCTTTCTTGAACACCTGCCAATGTAAAACTCAGTTACAATGTTAAGCAGAGGAAAACAAGTGGGCAAGCCCAGGGCATAATTATGTGCATTACTTATTTAAAAATAAACTTTGAAGAGCTCCTTCTGCTTAATTAGAAATGTATTGTTATATGAGCAAGATCCAAGAACCAATCCAAAAATGTAAGGAACCGCACAGCAGAGCCTTACCACTGCTAGAAGGCTGTCATCTGTGGAGGCAGGTTGAGTTATGCTCTGTACTTTTAGCCATTAGAAGTTTATACATCTCTTAACACAGTGGACAAAGTGAAATAAATGTTTTTTCCCTTGGTAGCACTCAGGAAATGCTGTCCTTTATTGTGTTATCCAGTGCTAATGATTGTTTTGCTACAGGCCCATAAATGAGGAAATTACGTTTGCACACACACACATACCACAACACACCACCGTGTACCTTTAACCTAGTGTAATATTTTCTCCAATAACTACACTGCCCATTGGTCATCTGAACATGCCTCTCCTATTTTAGAGCCTTCAGAAAGCAGACTACTTTTAAAGTGATTTGACAAAACCTTATGTTGAAACTTTGCAGCTCCCATCGATCCAAGTGTCTGATGATTGATTTTGCTGTTTCTGCCTTTGTGGTTACAGTTCTGTGACAAAACGTGGCTCACTGTAATCCCCATCAAGCTATCATGATTTGTTTTACCCCCAAGCTCAGCTAACCCAAGCATGAAAATATTGCAAATATACTATAGGAGAACTGACGTGCCTTGAGAGCTTAAATTGATGGGGTAAAGGATGGTGTGGCACTTTGCATCCAAAGTTTTTACAGCATAAAATACAGCACAGACACTCATTTCTGTTGGGTCAAGCGAGTGCAGTTTATGAAACATCTGTGAAAAGCAGCACATTCACAGGGAGTAAACATGACTCTCAAAGATAAAGCAAGCTCCAGCATGGACAGCTCTTTATCTGCCAAATGATAAGTGTTCAGTCAGCATGAAAGCACAACTGAAAGAGGAGGTAGAGGATGGATAGATAGAGTGAGGAAGAAGAAGGGATTCCCAAGGCATTTAAGGGATTTAGGAGGAGAGGCCCTCTAACAGAGCTCCTTAAATCACAGAGCCAGATACCATCAGGGCAGTTTGTTTGTTTGTGAATGGGTACGTGGCAGGTTTAAGGTAGGCTCATTAAATGTCTTCCAGTAGACATGGATGCTTCACTGACTGTATGTGTCTGAGTATTTGTAGATCTGTTTATATTAATCTATGTCTTGACTTACGAGAATTAAAAAAAAAGGGGGAAGAAGTGCTATTAATGTTTACGTGTGTCTTGGTGTGTATGGGTGCGTGTCATCCATCCCCTACAGCCTTTCAGCTCTGTCAGTGTGTTTAATAGAAAGCAGAGTGATCTGCTGATAAGATAAGCATCATGGCTCACCATTAATTAAAAATCCCTGGTAGGGATGGAGATGGCAAACAGGGAAGAGGAGAGGAGAGGAAAAAGGAGAGGGCAAAACACAGAGGGAAAATGAGAGGAGGGAGTTGGTGTAAGTACCAGAGCATTCAGGGGTTCAACCGGCAACAGGATGCTGACAAGAAGGGGAATATTTAAAAAAAGAAAATGTAAAGAGAAAAGAAAAACAATCCTCAGACAAGATGTCAGTCATGTCTGCCTCAGTGCAGATATGACTGAGAACAATGGCCTTGGTTAATGCACACAGAGGTGACATGTTGCTGATGTAAAAATGTAGAATGCAAAAAAAAAAAAAAAAAATGCAAAACAAAAACAAATATATCAAAGACATAGTTCTGAGAATCTTGGAATAAACACTATGTACTCCGAACTTCAGATAATTTCCGAGTAATCTGAATTAAAATGCGCTGTTGCTTAAATGGCACCTTCTTTATATAACTATCATTTTATGACTTGCTTGGAGCTCTCTGCTCTTGATAGACTAGTGGGAATGAAAATTAAGTCTGCTTCTGTTGCCGCGCAGAGCTTCGTGTTCCCCGTGAGATGGGTTTGTTTGCAGTTTCTTGAGGCATGCGGAGGCGTGATGCAGCAAAATACTTTAGTAGAAAACATTAGGTGTGGCAGAATAGCAGTCTGATAGAGTGAGAAGGAAAGGCAGGTGGCAGGGGAGATGGTGTGGGAGAAAGGGTGGAGCCACAGACAGAGTGATAAAACGGGCACAAAGGGAAGAAGCTCCCATTAAAATAAGGCATATTTTTTTTTTAAAAACTCAAAGCTAGAAGATGCAGAGCTGAAGATGTGACAGTGATTTGCATTATTTGTGTACATAGACAATGTTGAGGATCTTGCAACATGAGCACATACCATGATCAAATGTTGATATTAACCTTTCTAGATAAAATCCAATTGCTGTAGTCCCAAACCCCAAAACAGAAATTTGAAAAAAAAAAAAAAAAACGTTTTCCCTACAGTGCTATTGAAAGACAGTTTAACGTTGACGTGAAATATTATTGTGAAACATGATAGGGACACAACACTGAGGAAGGTGTTTAATAAAACCATTATTATTGTGTAACCAGCTACATCTGGCAGTGTAAAAAATATTCATTCACACAATCCTGAGTTGTTTTAATTCAATAAAATCTATAAAGGAGTGTTTTGGGTATTTTAAAGCCTGTAAAATTCTGCATTATATAAAACATATTTGAAAATGAGTTTTTACTAATAACCCTGTGACACGCTTGTGTAGCAGCCTTTTATTTGTGTTGCATTAGAAAATGTGATGTGATGAATTAAGAAAAGAACGCTCGTCATACCTTCCTCCAAAATAATTGACAATGTGGCACTCATTTGACACACTGGAGGAACCTGGTTGCCAATGTTTTTTTACGTTTTTTTTTTTTTTTTTTGCACATATTAAAAAATAACCCCAACAGGTTCCACTGCTCAAATATGTAATGTAAGTTGGACATGCACACTACTGTTACAGAATCAATCCAAAAGCAACTCAGATGTGACATCAATGATTACCATAAATTTTAAGATACTGTAGAGACACTTTGATTAATTCATTTGGTAATTATCTACCAAGAAGTAGTCAAAAGTAAGGTTCAATTAATCCTTTAAATTGTAAAGAAATATCAAATAAGTTGTAAATGTCTCCAAAACAATGTGCCAGACGGACTGTCTGGCTTCTTTTTTGTTTAGTCTGCCAATGCCGCTATCTTTAAACCCCCATTTTTCTTTGCTTTAACAAGCACACACAGTTTTTTTTTTTTTTTGCAGTTGTGTAGTTTACTGTTGTCTAATTATTGCAGAAAAGTAGAATCTACGACTGTTGAGTGGATGATGTCCAGGCTAATTTTTACTGAGGAGGACATTTATGCAATGATCTCATCTATGCCCCGATTGCAGCCAGATTGACTGAAATAAACATTCTGCGCACTACAAAGCCAGTGCATGAATAGCTCAAGAAAATGAAGCAGGACCACAAGAGGCTGAAGGACCACAACAATTGTAATAAATCAGACTACAGGCCAAAACACTGGTATGAGCAACTGGATGTGATCCTGTGACACAGGCCCGCATACATGGTCACCAGAGCCACAAAAGACTGTGACGTAGGTGCTGGAGAATCTTTGCCAAGAAGAGCTCTTGGACATGGACTATAGTCGAAGTAAGTGACTTGTTCTTAAATGCTCTTTATATCCATTATATCTTGCAGCAGAAGGAGGTAAAGTTTGTACTGAAACATGCGTGTGCGCACCAACAGTGTGTTACGCAGTGATCATGATTGCGCTCCAACACGTGGTGTTCTTTACGATTACGTTTTTTGGCAACAATGCCGCTACGTTGATTTGCATGATTGTCCCAGGGCCTTTCACAGTGATGGAACATGAACATAATTAATTTTTCAGGTATTCCTGTTAGTCAGGTATTATAAAAGCCAGGGGCTTTTAGTGGGAAAGGGACTATATACGACATTAACTCCTTTGTTAACAACACTCTGCCCCTCAATATGGTGCTCTGTTTTTCCAATACAATTTACTGAATCAGTCCTGAAATAAAGGCTCTCCTTAAGGAGAAGAGGAGAGCGACAAAGGGGAAGCTGCAGCCTGCATCAAAAATTCAAGGATGAAAAAATATCTACAAGAAAAAGACAGCAGGGTAATTTCAGGTCATAAAACAAACTCCCAGGTGGGGGGAGATTGAGGGAGGATGAATCATCTGCACGTCTTTCAGCAAGTTTTATGAGGCCTCTAGCCCTCCCTTCAGCCGAGTTTCCCCTGCCTCAACCAAACTTCTCATTGATGACTGCCTGCACAACCCCCCCCCCCCCCCCCCCCCCCCCAAGAATTTCACACCTCTCAGCCGTCACCCACTGCCTCTGTTTTGGAGGACTCCATCCCACGGCCCTTCTCCCACACTACCATCCTGTCACTTTTAACACTTCAGGTGAGGAACAAGCTGTGAAAGATCAATGTGCGAAAGGCTCC